CCCCGGGCAATAGGGGATCATGGGGCCCCTGTGTCCTTGCCCAAACTCAAAAAAGCCTATGAAAAAGGTACCAGGGGCATCTCATGGGGCCCCCTACTGACCCCAGGCCCTCGGGCAGTGCCCTAGTCTCCAAATGGTCAGTCCGCCCCTGCTGCACAGCTACCTATAAGTCATCTGGTGATCTGAGAACCTGTGACGCAGGGTAGGAATTCCCAAACACACCCACTGCAGGCTCCATACTGTCACCCTTTCCTGGGCACTGTGCCCTCCTTCCTGCACTTCTTAGTTCCCGAGCACTCCTTGCAGCAGATTCCAAGTATGGCCGTGAACCCAATATCTATGCCAGTCTAGAATGGAGACTATGGTAGACAAAAACTTGATCAATGATCATTCAGGCCTCTAATCCTTCAGCAGGATTATTACATTAGTAGCAGTTTCATCTACTGAAGAGCTGCAGAGATGTCAGTCTGTGAGAGCAGTTTCCAGGGTGATTTTCCAGGCATTAAGTATGCAGGGTGAAACATGAGCATCACCAAATTAGCACAGATCAAATTAATTTGACTGAATAATAATGGGTGAGAATTTAAATTATACTTAAACATACTGTCTATTCATACAATAATATAAAAAAATACAGTCAACGACTGCCAATGATGAAATGGCCCTTTTTGAAAAGGTGTGGTCCCCATTAATTAATCACCACCTCCCCCCAAATTGTGACTGCTGCTACTTCAACCTTTAAACCCTACTGAGAATCCTCCAAGCTGGTCCAGAGAACTCAGAAGGGCCCCCTGACTGCAGGTGCACTCAAATCCCTACGCCTGCCCTCCCTCACCTCCCATCTTTCCTTCTTTTCTCTTCTTCTGCCAATTGATACATTGGTGCATTGCCTCTCACAGTACTATGCCATAGCTCATCATAACTGTGCATACCTAGGCTATAATGGAACAAACTGTACCTTGTGTGTTGTATCTTTGTGTGTAACTTACTACTCTGCATTTCCTGCATTTCCTGTATGCAACATTGTAAAACAATAAAAAAAAAATATTTAAACACGAAAATACAATTTGCAAACAGTGATATCTTTTTTTCTTCCACTGTGTAGTATTTACAAAAATATTATTATCACTACTAATATTAACCACTTGCCCTCTGGGAGATTTACCCCCCATTATAGTCATTTTTTGCTATATGGCTCTGCGCTACTTTAACTGTCAAGCCATGCAACATTGTACACAAATGAAATTTACATAATTGTTTTTCACACAAATAGAGCTTTCTTTTGTTAGTATTGGATCACTACTGGGTTTTTTATTTTTTGCGCTATAAATTAAAAAATACCAAACATTTAAAAAAAAGCAAAATTTTTTTACTTTTTGCTATATTACATATCCAATATAAAAATGTAAATAATAAAATTTCTTCATAAATTTAGGTCAAAATGTATTCTGCTACATGTCTTTGGTGAAAGAAAATCCCAATAAGTGTATATTAATTGGTTTGCGTGAAAATTATAGTCTCTGCAAAGGTACAATAGTATAGATACTGGAATTTTTTTTTTTTTATACTAGTAATGGCGGTGATCAGTGACTTGTAGCGGTACTGCGATAGTGCAGCAACAATCTCACACTAACTGACACTGGATGGGAACTGATTAACTGCCACTGACACATCCAGTGACACTAATACTGTGATCAGTGCTAATAAAAAGCACTCTCACTGTACTAATGACAATGGGCAGGAAAGGGTTAACATCTGGGTTGATCAAAGGGCTAACTGTGTGCTGTTTTACTCGGGTACTGCATGCTGTTTTACTAGTAGAACTGTGTGCTGTTTTACTAGGGGATGTGCTGGTGTGTAAGGAGATAAAAATAGGCACATCCCCTCTGACAGGAGAAATATCTGTGTTGTTTACATACACAGATCTCTCTCCTGTTACTCGCTCCACCGATTGCCATGTCTCGGCCATGAATTGCTGGCTGGGACCCGGTGATTGTCATGTAAGGGAACCAATGACAGTGTGGCCAGGCAGGCATACATGCACACATCCCCTACTCAAAAAAGCAGGATCAAGTATATATATGTGATTCTGTGCAGCAGGCCCGCACTGTAGCAGTAAAGCTACAGTGAGTGGTCAGGAATTGGTTAATACTATATTCGTGAGAAAATAATACTATTGGAATCATTACTGATAAGTCCTAAATAGCCAATCTCAGCCTGCTCACTCCAGCAACTCCTGTTTAGTCCACACCAGGGGTAGACAGCCGTTAAGGAGTTGAGGTCTACCTGAACAACATAGAAGAGATCCAAATTTACTGGGGTGCAACAACTTGTTTTTCTTATGAAGCTAACAAGAAAGGCCTCAGTAAAAGATAAGGGTGGCGTTAAGAAAACTGAACATGAAGAAAATAAATGTAGCGTACCTTAAAAGTTAGCTTCTGTGATAAATTTGGCATTCACATTTTCTTTCACACCTGAAGAGTAATTGGTTGACAAATTTGATGCAGGAGTCCATCAGGAAGCAGAACAACTGGTACTGCAGGTTGACTTGCTTGACTAGTTTCAAGTCTGGCTGTCCTCAATTCTGGCTTGGCTGCCTGCTCTTAATTCTTGCCCTACTAGCTTGTTTGCTTTCTGGCCAGTGTGTGTCTTATGTAGGGCAGTGTACAGAAGTCAGTAGTAAGTGGGGCAGAGTACAGGGTCAGTAGTATGTAGGGCAAAGTATAGGGGTCAGTAGTAAATAGGGCAGAGAACAGGGTCTGCAGTATGTGTACAGAGGTCAGTAGTATGTAGGGCAGTATACAGTGGTCATTAATATGTAGGGCAGTGCACTGGTGTTAGTAGTTTCTAAGGCCAAGTACAGGAGTCAATAGTTTTTAGAGCAGATTATAGGTGTCAGCAAGGCAGAGGACAGGGGTCAGCAGGGAAAAAGACAGGGGGCAGCAGGGAAGTGTACATTGGATCAGGAGCGCAGTGTACATGGGGTTAGCAGGCCAGAGAGCAAAAGGTCAGCAGGGCAATCTACAGAGGGGCAAAAGGGCAGAGGACAGAGGTCAGCAGTGTGAAGAACAGACATCAGCAGGGCAGAGGACAATGGTCAGTAAAGGAAAAGGGGTAAGCAGGGCAGAGAGCAGGGGTCAGCATAGCAGAGGACAGGGGTCAACAGGGCAGTCTATGGGAGGTCAGCAGGTCAGTGCATGGGGGTCAGCAGAGCACAGGGCAGGAGTCAGCAGGACCGAGGATAATGGGTCAGGGGTCCCCCCATCATCTGTCCACAACTGACAGGTAGATCGACAGGTAGATTGAGATCGATGTGTTGCTGATCCCCAGTTTACACACTGCCACCATTGACCAAGAACATTTTCCTCAACAGTTTGGCTATTACTCACTACAAGAAAATGACCACCACTTTCCAAAGAAATTAGCCTCAGAGCTTAGTAAATGAGGTGAAGTTCTGCTGACTTTCATCATCCAATCATGTGCAAGCAAATTTGCTGTTTGTTTTATTTTTCTTGCACTTGTTTTGAGTGGGTATTTGTTGCATGTTAAAATTGCAACACATTCACTAAGCTCTGGGGAAAATCCCTTGAAAAGTGAACAGTCTATTTACCTTCAGTAATTCAACCCCTTGGGTGAAAATAATATGCATTCCTTTTAATTAAAGTGGTATTAAACCACATAAAAGCAAACATTTGTTATATTGCAGGTTACCAATTCTTGGATGTGATGGCTACATTCAGAACAAGCTCTCAAGCTCAAAGTATTAGTGAGACAAACCATATAACACTAGCAGGGGTGATTGCAATCATCAGCCTTTATTTATTAATGGAAAACGTTTATCCCAAATGGAAAAAAAACTTTGCTCTAAATGATTTATAATGTGTGAGCTGAAGCTTGGCTTCAATTTGTTGACCTATTTAAATTTGCTAGTACATCTAACACTCCTAACATTCTCATTCCCACAGACTGACAATGCTGCTATCTAAAGGTGCCCCCTGTGCTCCTTCCTCCAAAGTGGGGGCACTCTAATACAGGAGGTATGTTAGTGGCTGCAAGCTGCAATATATATATATATATATATATATATATATATATATATATATATATATATATATATAATTTTTGGTTTGCTGTTTAATACTGCTTTAAGTTATAAATGTTCACCTCACCTGTATAGGAAAGATATATTATACCAGTCCTGCTGTCTGGACAGCCTGTCATCACTCTCTTTGAAAGCTAAGGTGCATGCAGAACACTTTTCATCCAACAGATTTTCCAGAGTATTGAATTCCCAGTCCCCTGCTGAGCACCATGGTTCCTTTCATTGGGCCCTACATCACAACTGTATCCTGCAGGGATGTAGGAGAAGTTGGCAGACTGTACCACTGAGTGCTGCAGGAGTCACGGGAGATTAGTAGTGTGTGGACCATGTTTCACCCATATTTAAGGTGTGACATAAAACATTGTCACATTTCCCAACCCCCACTTTAAAACTGACCCCCAACTTACCTTAATTGTGGTGCTCTGTTGTTTTTTTTTAATTTAACATGGCTCCACTTGTACAGCTGCGTCATCCATTCACAGGGATCTGTGAATAGGGTGACTACACATCTTATTTTCCCCAGAGCTCTGGCACAAGTGTGGTGATGTCATCACACTTTTAGTCCATTGGTTATTTCCTCAAACCCCATGATATAAGGTCCTTTACCCAGGGCTTTTTTTCTCAGAGAATAGGTGCAGGTACTCCCCCCTTCTGAGTCACCCCTTGTCTTTGCCCCCCCTAACAACCTCTGAGCACCGTCCCTAGGTTCCACCCCTTCGCTACCTCCCAATACCGCCCCTTTTAGAGAATTCAGAAGTATCATTTGTGGAATTTGTATGGAATTTGATAATGATAACAAGAATAGCAGTATTTAGATCCTCTGCAGCTAACAACAATAGACCCCCACCAGCAACAGAGATCCCCTTCAACAACAATAGACCTCCTGCAACAAAATACCTGCCAGCTACAAAAGATGCACCCCAGCCAGGGGCGGACTGACAACTCATGGGGCCCCCGGGCAAAAGGGGATCATGGGGCCCCTGTGTTCTTGCCCACACTCAAACCACACCCAAAAAAGCCTATGAAAGGTACCAGGGGCATCTCATGGGGCCCCCTACTGACCCCGGGCCCTCAGGCAGTGCCCAAGTGCTTGACTGGTCAATCCGCCCCTGACCCTAGCAACAATAGACCCCCACCAGCAACAATAGATCTCTCAGTAGCTGACATCAATAGACACTCCAGCAGCCAGCAACAATAGACCCCTCAAGAAACAATAGATCCCCACTGGCAGAAATAGACTTCCACAGCAGCCATACATCCCCCAGCACATTCCAGAAACCCTTGCCATTACATACAGTGAATGAAATAAGTATTTGATCCCCTGCTGATTTTGAATGTTTGCCCACTCACAAAGAAATGATCCGTCTAAAAATCGAATGGTAGGTGTATTGTATCACTGAGAGATAGAATAGCAACAAAAAAATTCTAAAGAAATGCATGTCTAACAAATAATGCACTGATTTGCATGTTCATGGGGGAAATAAGTATTTGATCCCCTTCACAAAACATGACTTAGTACTTGGTGGCAAATCCCTTGCTGGCAATCACAGAGGTCAGATATTCCTGTAGTTGGCCACCAGGTTTGCACACATCTCAGGAGGGATTTTGGCCCACTCTTCTTGGCAGATCCTCTCCAAGTCATCAAGGTTTGGTGGCTGACATTTGGCAACTCTAACTTTCAGCTCCCACCACAGATTTTCAATCGGATTAAGGTCTGGAGACTGGCTAGGCCACTCCAGGACCATAATGTGCTTCTTCTTGAGCCACACTCCTTTGTTGCCTTGGCCATGTGTTTTGGGTCATTGTCATGCTGGAACACCCATCCATGACCCATTTGCAATGCCCTGGCTGAGGAAAAAAGGTTCTCACCCAAGATTTGACAGTACATTGTCCCGCCTATCGTCCCTTTGATGCGGTGCAGTTGTCCTGTCCCCTTAGCTGAAAAACACCCCCAAAGCAGAATGTTTCCACCACCATGTTTGACAGTTGGGATGGTGTTCTTGGGGTCATAGGCAGCATTCCTCCTCCTCCAAACACGGCGAGTTGAGTTGATGCCAAAGAGCTCTATTTTGGTCTCATCTGACCACAACACTTTCAACCAGTCCTCCTCTGTATCATTCAGATGTTCAGTGGCAAACTTCAGATGGGCCTAGACATGTGCTTTCTTGAGCAGAGGGACCTTGCGGGCACTGCAAGATTTCAGTCCTTGTTGGCGTATTGTGTTACCAATTGTTTTCTTGGTGACTGTGGCCCCAGCTGCCTGGAGATCATTGTAGTTCTGGGATGCTTCCTCACTGTTCTCATGATCTTTGACACTCCAAGTGAGATCTTGCAAGGTTCACCAGACCTAGGGAGACTGACAGTTGTTTTGTGTTTCTTCCATTTGCAAATGATTGCACCAACTGTTGTCACCTTCTCACCAAGCTGCTTGGCAATAGTTTGGTAGCCCAGTCCAGCCTTGTGTAGGTCTACAATCTTGTCCCTGACATCCTTGGACAGCTCTTTGGTCTTTGCCATGGTGGAGAGTTTGGAATCTGATTATTTGATTGCTTCTGTGGACAGGTATCTTTTAACAAAACAATATTAGCAGCACTCCCTTTAAGAGACTTCTTCTAATCTTAGCTTGTTACCTGTATGAAACACACCTGGTAGCCAGAAATCCTGCTGAATGATAGGGGATCAAATACTTATTTCCCTCATGAGCATCATCATCATGAGCAAATCAGTGCATAATTTGTTAGACATGCATTTCTTATGAATGTTTTGTTTTGCTATTCTGTCTCTCAGTGTTACTACACACCTACCATTCGATTTTTAGACTGATCATTTCTTTGTGAGTGGGCAAACATTTGAAATCAGCAAGGGATCAAATACTCATTTCCTTCACTGTACATTCAGTGCTGGAGGTGCCTGAACTGCGTTCCCCCACGTTCCCACTGAAAAAAAGCCCTGTCGTTACCTCCTGGGGCTGGGATGTAAACAATGCAGGAGCCTCTACATTGCACCCACAATGCACTGATTGGGATTGCAATGCTCTTCAGGTTTCAACGCAAACATTTAATAAATACACATTTTCTGTTTTATCAGTGTAGCAGCATTTATTACATTCTTGCAAAAGGTAGATCGACAGGTAGATTGCAATCGACGGGTTGCCGATCCCCGTTGTACACTCTGCCACCATTGACTAGAAACATTTTCCTCAACAGTTTGACTCTTACATACTACAAGAAAATGACCCCCATGTACCTGCAGCCATAGGTACACATAGGGGTTCCTTTACTAAAGGCAAATAAAAAAGTTGCATTTAGAGAGGGACTTTGCCCCAGACCTTGGTGAATGCGGTAGCGCTCTAGTGACTTCCATCATCTAACCATGCACAAGCAAAAATGCTGCTTTTTTTTCTTTTCCTTGCATGTGATTGGGTATTCTGTGCAAAAGTGAAACCTTGCCACATTCACCATGCTTAGGGGCAAATTCCCTTGCAAAGTAAACAAGCCTATCTGTCTTTAGTAAAGGGAATTCTCTGCCTGTCATGTTTGTAACAGAGTCACTGTAACCCAGGACTGATCCCTTTGCCAGCCCTTCCCTTACTCCAGGCTGTCTCCCTGTATTGATGAGCTCACAGCCAAGGAGACCGTAGAAATCTGAGCAGCTATTTATGTAACACCTTGTTTGTTATCAGTGAGATGAAGGCACAAGACACGCCCATGTAGAAATATTGAGCCAGCAGAGTATTATGAACTTACAGTGAGTTCAGGGATAGGGAAGTGGAGAAAGTTGTGTGGGTGTTCGAGCCAATGTAATGTCCAGCCTGCAGATGAGGAGCGCTGCACACTGTGCGATGCCCACCCTCCCTGCAGGGGGCCCTACCTGTACAGCCCTGCCAGGAGCGCACAGCCCTTACCTGACAGCTGAAGGCAGAGGGGCGTGCCTTGTGGGAATAAACTTACAAGGGGCGTGGTTATGCAGATAATACGCCTAGTGTTCGCTGGTGATTGGAGAGCACTTGCAGGCCGTGGTTGTCCTCTTCTTCTAATTGGTGTCTACCTGCGCTGGGCGTGTCTTCGCTGCACGGGTGCCCCCCTCTGGCTGTCATTTCCTCGGGTGTGTGGGTAACATGGCAGGCTGCGGCTCTGGACAGCTCCCGGGGGCCACAGTGGACTCCGACTCGGACTCGGATACCGAGGGGCTCCGTCCCCGGCTGCAGGTCATCCACAGCGGCCACTTTATGGTCTCCTCGCCCCACCGGGGGAAAGAAGCCGAGAGTCCGGGCAATGTCCCTGGAAACAGCATCGATCCCACGCTGACCCGACTCTTCGAGTGTATGAGCCTGGCATACAGGTGAGTCATGGCTGTCAGTGTGCAGGCTTGGATGGGGGCGATGACCTGAGCGGTGCTGGTGGAACCGACAGCTGTCCCTGATTTCTCCAGTCCTGGGAATGTCCCCGATCTTCTGACCATCTGCACTGCATAGCCCTTCTCTATATACATCATCACATCTGGTCATAGAAGGGGGGAAATAGGCAATTACCCGGCCCCCTGCCAGAAGGACCCCCATATAAAATATCATGGGAGTTATGTACTAAACTGGAGAGTGCAGAAATTGGCGCAACTCCGCGAGAAACCAATCAGCTTCCAGGTTTTGTTCCCAAAGCTTAATCAAACAAGCTAAAGTTAGAAGCTGATTGGCTCCCATGCACAGCTGCACCAGATTCGGAGTGCTCTAGTTTTAGTAAATCTCCCCCAATGTATAATAAATTGGTTTACTTTATTCATCATATTACTGTTGGGAAGCAATGTTTTGCTGCAGTCTTCTAAAAAAGGTTTTACTTTGGTTTTATTTATTGTATCATTTTTAAATGTGTCTTGTGGCATAAGTGAACCAGATTGCTTACACCTGTAACCGGTTGCTGCCTCCTGGCCAGGCCCCATTTAGAGAGGGGATCTGGGGCAGGCTATGCCCCCCCCCCCAGGTTTTAGTTGTGCTCCCCCAGACCTCAGAGAGTGCATCCACAAATCCATAACACCTGATAGGGACAGTTGATGTAAGGGGAACTCTGACTGATAGGGACAGTTGATGTAAAGGGAGAACTGTGATGGGGACAGTTGATGTAAGGGGGAACTGTGATGGGGGCAGTTGATGTAAGGGGGAACTCTGATAGGGACAGTTGATGTAAAGGGAGCACTGTGACGGGGACAGTTGATGTAAGGGGGAACTGTGATAGGGACAGTTGATGTAAGAAGGAACTCTGATGGGGACAGTTGATGTAAAGGGAGCACTGTGATGGGGACAGTTGATGTAAAGGGAGAACTGTGACGGGGACAGTTGATGTAAGGGGGAACTCTGATAGGGACAGTTGATGTAAGAAGGAACTCTGATGGGGACAGTTGATGTAAGGGAGAACTGTGATGGGGACAGTTGATGTAAGAAGGAACTCTGATGGGGACAGTTGATGTAAAGGGAGCACTGTGATGGGGACAGTTGATGTAAGGGGGAACTCTGATAGGGACAGTTGATGTAAAGGGGGCACTCTGATGGGGACAGTTGATGTAAGGGGCAACTCTGATAGGGACAGTGATGTAAAGGGGGCACTCTGATGGGGACAGTTGATGTAAGGGGAACTCTGACTGATAGGGACAGTTGATGTAAAGGGAGAACTGTGATGGGGACAGTTGATGTAAGGGGGAACTGTGATGGGGGCAGTTGATGTAAGGGGGAACTCTGATAGGGACAGTTGATGTAAGAAGGAACTCTGATGGGGACAGTTGATGTAAAGGGAGCACTGTGATGGGGACAGTTGATGTAAAGGGAGAACTGTGACGGGGACAGTTGATGTAAGGGGGAACTGTGACGGGGACAGTTGATGTAAGGGGGAACTGTGATGGGGACAGTTGATGTAAGGGGGAACTCTGATAGGGACAGTTGATGTAAGAAGGAACTCTGATGGGGACAGTTGATGTAAAGGGAGCACTGTGATGGGGACAGTTGATGTAAGGGGGAACTCTGATAGGGACAGTTGATGTAAAG